GATGTTGCGATTACTGATGTTGGTTTAAATACTTGGGCAAATAATACTATTGTTGAATCATCGGATAGAAAGAAGATATATGGAGTATTGCCATACGTAGCACCTGAAGTTTTACTTGGTGAACATTATACGAGCGCGTCGGATATTTATAGCTTTGGGATGATTATGTGGTCGCTAGGATCTGGAATCCGTCCATTTTCAGACATTGCTCACGACGAAAAACTTGCAAATGAAATAATCGTAGATGGGAAAAGGCCAAAAATATGTGAAAACAATTTTCCAAAAGTTTTTATTGACCTTATGAGAAGATGTTGGGAAAACGACACTAAAAGACGGCCAACCGCAAAGGAATTATTTGAAATTACTGGGAGGTGGGTATCCGATACTTGTGATAATCCGAGTCCCAATGAAACTAGTCGTCAATTTGATGATGCCGAGGATAAAAAATTCATGGAACTCGAAAAAACCCCTTTCTCCCAACCAAAGATTCATCCTTTAGCAATTTATACGAGCAGACTACTGGATTTTCCTGGAATTCGTTCTACTTGATTGATATTCGTTTCATTTATTTTTAATTATTCATATTTGTATAATAAATATTTTACGTTTTCGTTTTTGTTTTCGATGCCGTTGGCGTTGTCGTTGTCGATGTCGATGTCGTTCTCGGCGTCGTTGTCATTGTCGCTGTCGTTGTCGTTTCGTTTTGATTTTCAATTTCGATTTTTATTTGGCAAATCTGATGTATAAATTTATGAAAAGGTGTATGTTGTTTATATGAGTTATACAAGTTAGAATTTATAATTTTTTTAAAAAGAGAAATATTCTATAAAAATTCGTTAAATAAATGCTTACATTTTTAATTAATAAGGTTAAAATAATCTAAAATACTATCAAATGATAGATTTCGAAAAAAATTGAAAGCAAGACCTGAATTTGGTTTATTTTCTTGTCAGTTAATTCGGTTCTTCTCGGTTAATTAGTTTACGAATTTACTTTGGCTCTCTATTACTGCCTCTTTCTTGTATCCAGAAAGCTTTGGCAAATCTGTAAGCACACTTAATGGTACCGGGTAACTATAAATAAATAGATACGGCTCTTTTACAAAACTCAATAACGTTCCTTTTTATTTACTGATAACCCCCCATAGTAATAGTAATAGTAATAATAATACTGTAATAACATGACAAAAATATTCCGCAAACAAAAATAATATGATTTTTAGATATGTTGTACGTGAAAATGAAATTATATTAAAATAGTATATATAATTATCAAATTTTGAATTTGTGGATTTTGTTTGTGTCCCGAATGATTCCATCATAATAATAAGTTTTATTTATCATTTAAAAGGTTCTCGACTGGTTGAAGTCCCCAAATTTGCATCACAAATTACACAAAAAAAATTTTTTTTACTTCAAAATCCGAATTTTTTTTTTTAAGCAAAGCAATTTTATTTGTTGTATGTGAAATTGAAATATTATGGAGTGGGGTGAAATTCTGATTGGCCAATTTGAATTTCACATGTGAATTGCGAATTCACATAAGTCTTCGTTTAATTATGATTACCGAAATTAGGAAACCTTTCTACAGTGACAGCATGTAATGTATTGTCCTTTAATAGGTAATTCTGTAAAGAACACCTCTTGCTAAGAATACATTTTTGCCCTCATTTATTTTATTATTTATATTTTTTTGTGATCGTCATCAGTGTTGGAAATTCAGGGTGCGCAGGGTGCGCGCGCAGCATGTTACACCAAAATTGTGAAACATTTTATGTGCA